CCCCCCCCCCCAACATATTATACCAGCTCTTCAACAGATGCTTTGGCTTCCTACTCCATTCCAGCGAGAGTCCACCGCATTTATTTCAAGCTGGCTAAGAGACTGCCTCCTCCACTCTCACGAAGACAGAGATGAGAAGTGGGGCACTTAAGATGGCCATCCTTGGAATTTAATCACCAGGGCAAAGGGTGGAAGACCCTTGCCCCAGAAATTTAAATTTCCCAGCTGGCCTGATTGAAGGCATGGGGGCAAAGAGGTGAAGGTATTCTGCTACAAAGCCATGCATTTGAGCCTTGCTCTGAGCTCATGCCAAAGGCTCCCCCAGTCAACCAAGTTGCAAGGGGGTATCTGGTTATCCACCCTGGAAACCAAAAGCCAGCTGGACAAGATGCTGGTCACAATGCTCCCCTGCTTGCCGTTGGCCACAGACAAGCATACCACAACCATGCTTGCCAGCCGAGTCACCCAGACTGGAGATGTTATCTTGGAGTTGGTGTGACCCAGTGAGAACATATAGACATCGAGGGCATGGGATGGGTCTTTACAAGGATGGGGGTTAATTTATTTTAAGGCTCATCACCACATTTGGCCTGTGGTTTTTATGCAGTCAGCAGGTCCCTTGATGCATGCAAACAGAACACTTTGGCTGCTCAAAAAGATTTTCTTAGCTCCTGCTCTAAATAGTTTTTAAACGTTTCTAAATAGTTACTGCGCCGATGCAGATACAGTTTGAAGGAAGTCACCAGTGACACCACCTTCACTGTTTCACTGGTTAATGACTCACTCAAGCAGATGAGCACAGCAAGTGTTTGCTTTTTTTTGTTTTTACGGTAGTAACATTGAGGTAAGTGGGAGTGTACAAGCAAGGCCCCACCCCTACCTCACCGATACAAGGGAGCAGAAGCAGCAGGTTGTCAGTAAAGGCTCCTTTCCTTGCCAGAGCTAAAGCAACCTGGACCCATCAACCTTTTGGGTGCACAGTAAAGCTAATGGATCTAAGCAGAGGTCAGCTCAGGCATTTGGGGTGAATGTCTTAAAACCCAGGGGTGGCCAACTGTTGGCACGCACAGCCACTATGTGTGACAAGCAGGGACAACAGCAGGAGGGGAAGGGGAAAAGAAGGGTGCAGGGGATCCGAATGGCACTTAAGGAAGGGATGGGGGATAACCTCGTGGGACCATTGACTTAATCCGTAAGAGATGGGAGGCAATGCGACTAGCAGACAGAAATACAGGAGACCGTTTTATACCCTCCTTATCTGTAAAATGTGGCTAATATTCGTCTCTCTGGAAAGTGATTTGAAATCTACAGGTGAGAGATATTGTAAAACAGCTCCAAATGATGGCTATAATGCATTGAGGCATCCAACTTGCCGTGGCTTGGTTGCAGGGAGAAGAAGAACAAGCGCTACTGCTACTTTCATTGCTAGGACAGATTTTTATTCTATTTTAGAAATATTTATCAGAGACCTAGCTGGTCCCAAATGAGTGCCCTTCACTGTGAAGCTCTTACAAGGTTTAACCATGCCCAGGCCTGTTTGCTTGGCTCAAGAACTTTCCCCTACACTCCTACACCAGCAAACTCAAAAGAAATACACATTTTGTCAAAATACACTTTTCAACACCAAGCCTACAATGGAAGAGAGTACTCTGCACTCCACTTCCCAAGAAAAAATACATACCCCCATTTGTTCAGCAATTGGTTCCTGAAACAGTAACGGCTGCTTTGCACAATAGGATTCCAGCATACTGGCACAACTGGCTAAAGCTCACATAATCCCTGGTCACCCTAGGCCAAGCTCCCAGATGTTAGCTCAGACCTAACCATTGTACTTGAGGTTCTGATGACTTTCTGGATAAATCAATACAGAATCTGTGACAAAAATGCGAAATTTTGGACTATTTTTATTAATACTCCAAGTGATTCAAGTGACTCTCAGTCATCACTGTGATGCCACCTAGTCCTCCCTGAGTCCTGGGAGGGGAGATGCAGAACCCTTTACAGAAACCAATTTCTGGGTTCCAGCTGCTAACAAAGCAGGAAGTCATGAAGCTCCTAAAATAATCCCAGTATCTGCCTAACCACAGGGGCACCAGAACTCACCCAATCATTCAAGTGCCAAATACTATTTTCCAAAATTAACCTTTCCACCTATCATCCCCTTTCTCCTACTCATTTTGTAATGTTTTCTGGCAAGTGACATAGCCTGTACTGAATAAATACATTCTTCTTCAACTTTAGTTTTGAATTCAATACCTGTCGGTGTGATTTACTTAATTCTAACGAACATGAATTCACAGTGCCAAAATCCAGAGGCATAACTTTACCACTGTGCTACTTCTCCTGCTATCATAATCGAGCTGTTCCCAACTAAAATAAAATAGACAGCAAGGGGTGGAGACTAGGCAAAGAATTACTGCTTTACCAAAATACAGATGTGGCATCAAGATCCCCTATATTGCTGCTTTCATCTGCAACACCCCAAGCTAAATGTGCTTTTGAAGCCAGTCATTAAAAAAAATAAAGGTTCATTAGAGCTGCATCCAAAACAACACAGCTGTACTGCATCTTCCTGAACACAGAACAATATATGGGGAGGCAATGCCCTCTCTCTGACTCCTGTGTGACACACACCCACCAAAATCAAACCAGGTCAGAATTTTTTTGGTCAACACTTTTTTTAAAAGTAAACTAGGCCCTTGGTAGGGTTGGAAGGGACCTGAGCAGATCATCAAGTCCAACCCCCTGCCATGGCAGGAAAGGATGGGGGGTCAAATGACCCCAGCCAAGTGTTCATCCAGCCTCCTTTTGAAGACCCCCAGGGTAGAAGCCAGCATCACTTCCCTTGGAAGTTGGTTCCAGATCCTAGCCACCCTGACTGTGAAGTAGTGCCTCCTGATGTCTAGCCTGAATCTACTCTCAGTCAACTTATGGCCATTATTCCTTGTTACTCCCAGTAGCGCTTGGGGGAACAAGGACTCTCCCATTGCCTGCTGGTTCCCCTTGGCCAATTTATAGACGGCCACCAGATCCCCTCTCAGCCTTCTCTTGTGGAGGCTAAACAGGTTTGGGTCCCGTAGCCTCTCCTCATAAGGCCTGCCTTGCTGCCCCTGATCATGCGAGTGGCCCTCCTCTGGACCCTCTCCATGCTGTCCACGTCCCTTTTTAAGTGCAGCGCCCAGAACTGGACCCAGTACTCCAACTGCGGCCTGACCAGTGTCGTATAGAGGGGGAGGATCACCTCCTTGGACCTGCTCGTGATGCACCTGTGGACGCATGACAAGCCGCAGTTGGCCTTCCTGACTGCGTCCCCACACTGCCGGCCCATGTTCGTATTGGAATCAATGACGACTCCAAGATCTCTTTCTGCCTCTGCACTGATGAGAAGGGAGTTCCCCAGCCTGTAGGTTTGCTGCTGGTTCTTCCTCCCCAGGTGCAACACCTTGCACTTGTCAGTATTGAATTTCATCCTAGTCTCATCCACCCACCTCCACAACCTGTCCAGAGCTAGTTGCAGCCTGTCCCTCCCTTCTAGCCTGCCTACCTCTCCCCACACCTTAGTGTCATCTGCAACTTTGAACAAGGTGCTTTTCATCCCCTTGTCCAAGCTGCTGATGAAGTTGTTAAACAATGCAGGCCTGAGGACCGAGCCCTGGGAGACCTCACTGCCCACCTCCCTCCAAGTCGAAAGACTCATCCACCACCACTCTCTGGGTGCAGCCCTCCAGCCAATTTGCAACCCATCTGACTGCGTAAGCATCGACACTACAGTTGCCTAATTTTTTAAGAGGGGGGCTTTGTCTCATTTAAAGAAGGGTAAAAATTTACAGGCAGTTTACCTACACAGGCCCTGCTTTCACAGTTTGAACCTGAGAAGAATATGCTTTGGCTTAAAGAGTGTACTTTTGCCTGAATACGTAAAAGTCCCCTGTACACAGCAGCTGGATCACAAGGTAATTATTTTGTTTAAAATGATGAGCATGACTGTTTGCAGCACAAA